CAGGGATGGACCTAGGCAATTGGCTCCACTGATTTTTTATTTTTTATTTATTATACTTATTTATTTTTATTTTTGTATTATATCTCTAAAAAATTGTAAAATTACCCCATTGAATTAATAAAAAAATTACACCATTGGCCCTACAATTTTTTACCTTCTTGTTGTTAAAGACCATCATCTCCTTTCACATAAATTTATTGTCCGTCCCTGCTCATACCAGACATGGAACTATGAAGGGCCCATAGGGGGCAGCCGCCCCCAATGATTTTTTTCTATTTATAAAATTGCCTATAGATTTTGTGAAAATTTTAAAAATATTTTAACTCTTTCGTTAAAATTTTAAACATATCCTCACTTAATTTCTAACGGTGCCCCATCATATATTATTATTGTTCAAAACCGCCCTCTCTCGTATAAATCTATGAGTCTGTCACCGGCTCATACTCTTAGTTTTAATCAAAACATTAAACTGCTACTTCCCCCATTAATTTTACAATCACTGCACATTAATCCTATCTAAAAAAGGAAGCAATTGTGGCGGTCTAGAAATAGAAATCAGAGTCGTGTTGATGGAGCTTACTAGGCAAATCATGTGGAATGTTTATAATTAGGGCATGTCCAGCTGTATGATCTGAGAGGACAAGACATGGTGTAATATTTATCGAACAAGTGGTCGAGTGTTTTGAGTGACAACCATGTTGTGACTAAAAAAATACTCTTCATATATCTTCTATTCTATCACACCACATTTTGGATTCTTTGAATGAATAATATGAGATTTTCACAACCATAGAAGTTTGATCAGAATATTTTCTTTATAATTTTAAACGTTTTTTTTACTGTTTAGTTTATTAAAAAAAGAATAAATTGAATGCAACTAACTCAACAAACTAATTTGTTTATTCATTGGGGTGTACAAAAAAGTATTGAGTTCAATAAAAAGATGGGGTTCCACAAATCTGGAAATCCTGATTACATCACTCTCCTTCACAAACAAATGGATAATGTTTGATAAAAGTTATACAAGATTGGGAACCGTTTGGCTCCACAAAGTCATATCAAACTTCAAACCCTCCTCCATACTAACCACTTACATTTCACCTAACTCGTTTGTCCATTAGTCTAATGATTTGCAGCGTAATAAATTTCATAATTGTTATGATAATATTATATTATATATGTCCCTACATAGACATAGCAAAAGAAATATATACTGTTAAGTTATTATATTACTTTCTTTTTTTTCCTTCTTCTTCTTTTTTTTCCGGTAAATTTAATAGATTTATTGAAGAAACAAACACATATATAATGAAACTCTACACATGCAAGATCTCGAGTTAAAAATATTTACACATCCTAAGAGGATGGTTAGATTATGTATCGTAGCAACCAAAACTCAATACATTATTACTAATGGAGTTTCTTGTGTTTGTATTCCAATCACAACCTATCTGCGCGCGATTCACTTATTTTTTTGATAGCTTGCTACTGCATAAATTGAAGCGGGTTTGAGTGAAAACATTTGAAGCCTAATCAAAATTCAGATTTTAATTTTGGGGTTCACATGGGTTGCAAAATTAAACAAAAAATATATATAAAAAAAAAAAACATATCAAATACACATACAACAACATATAGATTTAAGGGTTATTCGCCCAAAATTAGGATTGCGTCATAAAAAATGACACAAGATACATAGAGTTTAGAATGAAACTCTCATTTTAGGATTAGGACAACACAACGAATATGAAATACACCAAAATACCTTCCAAAAATTTTGTGATTATATCAAGGCTAGCTCCACACTACCCTTCACAATCCTTTCTTAGTTGGATCTTATGGACTATGTCAGTAGCCTACTGTAACAAGGGTCATTTTGTCCCACATCGGAATCGGATGGGAAAGAGATTGGGTATAAATGGGTGGGGATGCAGCCTTACCTAACAGTTCGAGCTTTTGGGTAAATGGGCAAGCGCCCACCCGTTACAGTTGGTATCAGAGCCAGACCCAGTCCTTGATCCGGTGCCACGCCAAGCGCCCGGCCCGGAAGGCGTCCGGGTGAGTCATCCCGGGTAGGCAGGGTAGCCCAACCGCAACGAGGGCGTTGCGAGTTTGGGTGGGGGAGAATGTAACAAGGGTCATTTTGTCCCACATCGGAATCGGATGGGAAAGAGATTGGGTATAAATGGGTGGGTATGCAACCTTACCTAACAGTTCGAGCTTTCGGGTAAATGGGCAAGCCCCCACCCGTTACACCTACCAATATAATCAAACAAGTCATAATATACTAAAATGGGCTTGTTTTAGATCCATTGCTTATGTTCCGAAATTTAAGGGCCTGCTTGATTTGTAACTCTGAGAACAAACTCTGCTTGGTTCAATTTTTTGAAAACGATTTTATGAAAACTCAATTATAAACAAAGTAGAGAATTGTCTTTTACAGTTCTCTAAAAATAATTTTATATTCTCTAAATTATTGAGAACTGTTTTCAAAGTTACAAACTAAGCAAGCCCAATCTTTAGTCGGTATATATGTATAGGTGTCAAACGGGGTTAACGCCCGGGCCCGAAACCAAAACAAAGCAGACAAAAAAGGGCAAGGAAAAAAGGCCCGGCCCAAAGTCAATTGTGGGACGGCAGGTAGCTTACTGAAACAGCTTTCTGTTGGGCAATTCAAAAAAATAACCTTTGTGAATAACGGACCTGTCGCAGACTTTTCTTTAAAGAAGAACCATAGTAGTATATGAGTATTTGACCCACTTAAAAATTTTGGATCTAGAATTAGAATCAAAACCAATTAGAATGGATTTGGGCTTTGATTAAATTTTTGGGTCAAAATCGACCTGTTGAATGTCATTGCAAATTGGACTTGGGATGGTTGACAGTTATGAGCTCTGACACGTACGTACATATTATTTTGTGACTAAATTGATCATCTTTCAACGAGGGCTTAAATAGACTGCCAATCTACAGATTCTTTGCTGATTAATCTGTTAGTCTGTTCAATTTTTGTTGTTTATAAAATTAAACTTACATTGTCACCCATTACTACTTTCACACTATACAATTAAAACTCGGGATCATTTGGAAGATGTCTTCAAGTGTGCATATGCATATACATATATATACATAACCCACGAAAATGATTTTGGAAAATGACATTGCTCTTTGTGGAGGATAATTATGATAAATTTAAATTTGTTAGGCTTACACAATTTATAAAATAATTTATTAAAAATTGATGAATAAATTATTTTTATTAAATTTTAATATATTTTTCTTTGTAAATATTTTACTCTAATCAAACACCAAAAAAAAACATACATATAGCACCATCCTATATGCTATCATTTGACCACTTTGGTAAATTAATGAGCTCTGCGTTCACTCTGTCACCATTCTATCTTCTTTAATAGATGATCAAACCCATATTGCTCTGTCAGTGGTAAATTAATGAGCTCTGCGTTCACTCTGTCACCATTCTATCTTCTTTAATAGATGATCAAACCCATATTGCTCTGTCAGTGGTAAATTAATGAGCTCTGCGTTCACTCTGTCACCATTCATCTTCTTCAATATTTGAAAATTAGCAAATACATTGAAAGATGATCAAACCCATATTGCGCGCTCTCTCTCTCTCTCTCTCTCTCTCTATATATATATATATATTTATATATATAATGTATTCTACATATTTTGATAGATTAAAGTCCAAAGAATAATTAATTTATTATCGAAGAAAAAAAAAAAAAAAAAAAAAAAAAAGGAGGACTCCAACAAATTATTTTAGTACATAATATGACTAAACTGTCATTCTCTCCTTATTTTGTGTTCCAATCTTTCCTCCATTATCTTACAACTCTATTTGAATAATTCACTAAGCTAGAACTCTTCTATCATGAAGATATATATGTGTGTGTGTCTATATATATAAATATATATAAGTCAAAACATATCATGATATATCATTCTTTTCAATTTGGAAACCATGACAAATCTACAAACCCACAAATTATATGCATTGAAGGTTGATTAATATCATCTCTTTAGTAGTGAATTTTAATGATGATAATTTATGCATTGTTATTATTATTATTATGTTTTAACTTTATTATATATAATACTCATACATGTTGGATTGACTAATCATGTGAGAAATTTAATTAAAGAAGAGAACTAAATAAAGATGGGAAAAAAAATATCTCACTGTTGGAAGTTTTAGTGAATTCCTCAACTAAGTTATAAGATAGAGGAGAGAAGGGTAGCTTAGTCATTTTGTTCATTACAAGTAAAATAAGGAGTTGGAGCTCTAGCGCCAATATCACATCTCTTAATGTATAACTAGTTATGTTGGATACGTTACAAATACAATGATGTCAAATAATAATGAATGAAAATTGTGGCTTTAACAAAATATATTACAAAAATTACAACTCTTACATAACTAATTTTTTATTTGACAAGTATGAGTACAATTAGGGCAAAATACCCCTCACCAATTTTTTCTTTTTTTTCTTCTTTTTTTTTTACTCAAATGCCCTTCGGTGGTGGGGAGCAAATTAAGGTTTTGCGGAGTGAGATTCACAGTGTGTGGCGGTGATGGTAGTGAGTTTTTATTGGTTATGGATTTGTTTTACAGGAAAATATGCCGGTGGTTGACCGAGAAAAATGGTTGCAAGTGGTCTCCGACAGGTGGAGGTTGGCGGCCGTGGTGACTGATTTTGGAGATGCTGAGAGTAGATAGTGGAGTGTTGTATATGTGTTTAGAGAGAGTAGACACAGAAATAGTACCGAGGGCATATGTGAAAATGACTCAAAAGTGGTGAAAGGGCCCTTTGAACTAAAATAGTACTTTATTTATTTATTTATTTTTTTAATGTGTATCCAACCCGCACACGAACACCATTTAAACCAGAAGTGAGATTCAAAAGTTAGACCTCCTCAAAGACTAACCAACGCTACTATTATTAATTCTTCCACCCACATATTATTTAGAAACCTTGTAAGATCACCCACATAAGTATTCATTTATTAAATTTTCCCAAGCACCAAACTGATCCAGCCTGTTTGTTTAACACTTGTATGATTGACATCAATACAGAGGCTAATTAAATACAAAACGCTACTCTATTTTACATGTCTCTGAACAAAATAAACTGCAAGAGAAACACACCAAACCTGTCTGCATACCATACCATGCTTAGCAATAAACAGACAGTTGATATTAGATCGATTTACAAACCCCTAGAACCAGGAACATCTATCCACTGCAGCTGGAGTTCAATCTCGCCACTCTCGACATTTTGCAGTTTAAGGAACATGTTCTGGACAACCTTGCCTTCCGTCCAGACAATGCGGCTCTCTTCTGCCAAGCAGTTCTCTCGGTTCGGTATTACTCTTGTGATGATGGTTCCATTAGGGACATTTCCCAACCGCATCTTTACTGCTTCAAGGAATGGTTTGATGTCAATCTCTGCATCTCCCATTTTGTCATCAAGGGTGAATGTGTCCTTGTCATAAACTGACTGCAATTACAAATAATAAAATGGAGAATTATCTATACTAATCACAACAACGAAATTAATGTCATTCAAGAAATGCCATATATGCCATCTTGATTAGGTTTTCAATTAAACATTCCATTGTTTTGGATGTTATTATGTCCCAAGACAACCAAATGATGAGTACCCACTATTGGAATGTTTGAAACTAATAGTAGTACAAGCTCTTCAAGTGTAAACATAAAAGATAGATATTCTAGTTACATTTCATTTTTACCCTAGTATCTGTTAAGGCATGTCGAATAAATGTCTATTCATTTCTAATTTTTATGTTAAGAGCACAAAATCCATAACTGTTGAACAGTTCCGACCAAGTTCACCACCACACTGCAATAACTAAAATACTTACAAGCTTAATTGGAAGATTAGGATCTGCAATGGAAAGAGTTAAATCTTCATTCCACTCGGGATTGATATCTTTATTCACTACACGAGTCTTTAATTTCTGCATCAAATTTGCCATAAAAATACCATCAGTTAAATGAATAAAGCTAGAGGCTCAACCTTATTTCCCCCAAAAGAAGAAGCAGCAAGAGACTAAACATTATATGCAATGAATAAATGATAAAAATATAAGGTCAAATACTTGACCAAATTCCTTCAAGAATATCAACTCGAGTACTAGGTAGGAGGATATGCATACAATACAACGATTTGAAGTAGAATGAAGCATTTCACAAGCTTCAATTTACAAGAGAATACAAAAATGATAATTGTCCGAAACTGACAGGTTAGTTTGTGGCTACAAAAACCAGGAACAATGAAGATCACCCCATAAGACACTGGCGGACAAACCTTAAAATCTAGTCCAGCTTTGTTCCGGGTAATTCCAGAATAGAAAATGATACTGCCCTTTGTGCAGGATAATTATGGAATATATAAATTTTGTTAGCCTTAGAATAATTGTAAATATATCAAGATCAGTAACCAAAAAAAAAAAAAAAAATTTTGATGGGAAAACTTGGGAAAATAAATTAATACAAGAGAAATTGAGTAACGAAAACCAGGGAGCAGAGGACAATAAGCCTCACCCTTTGGTTGAGGATCTAAAAGACAGAATTATACATATACAAGAAAAGGGGTGCAACACATTACTCTTTTCTCATGCATTACAAGATCATTAATCCTAGATTAACCTTTAATTAGGATTTGGGGACATAAAGTTCCAGGAAAGTGGAGAAGAAATAAATTAAAAAGACAAGCAAAGATTTGGGGACATAAAGTCCGAGGAAAGTAGAGAAGAAATAAATTAAAAAAATAGAGTAGGAACAATTGGGACAAAACTGACGCATAGTTTTACCCAAACCAAATAATTCTATAACAATAACAGAACCAACAAGACGACTATCAACTATTAATTGATCCGGCTTGGATCTCACGGATATCATAAACCTAGTGGGTTAATTTAAGTATTGAATCAGAGAGTTGAAAATAGTAGAAGAAGTAGAAAAATGACCTGTTTGCCCATTCGGACAACAACATAAGGATCGCTGCTTGTGCAATCTCTGACGGCAAGATTGATGCCTCTTTGGACGTGAATTCTGACAAGACCCAACAAGTTTTCCATGGTGTTGTGTTGATCAACAAGTTGAACCGGTTGCTGAATGAAGAGGAGTTGGTTTGAGTATGAGAGGGACTTTTAAAGCAGAGAAATACTGGTTTTGATTCCTTGGTTGACCTTTTTTTTGGTGCTTTTATACAAACCAAATCAAATCAGAGCCACAGTCAGTGGAGCATTTAACCAATAATTGAGTGGGGGGAGTTCATTTATTTTTGACGAAATTCACATGCTGCTTCGGAGTCTGGCCTTTTCCCACCATGGCATGCGAAAGAAGAGAATTGACGTTGACTCAGGTACTACTAGCCCATTGGGGCAACCGGGTCATAGGTTCAAGCTAGTGACAGTGTGTTCACATGGACAATGGTGCCCTTCCAAATTCAATAACTTTGCATAAGAACATTAAATAGTGTAATAAATTGATAATTATTAGAACATCACTAATAGGTTCTTTAAATTTAGACTCTCTAAATTTGTCACATCAATATTTTTTAATAATCACGTCAGCATTTTCATGACCACGTCAGCGTTTTAGAGTCTTCAAATTTTAGCTATCAGATGTACTCCAATAATAAATTTTCGCTCTTCAAAAATATTAATTTTTTAAAATTTTAATAAATTTTATTTTTTAATTTTTTCCTACCGGCAGTATTTTTAAAACGACTATATCTTACAAAACATTTAAACAATATAATATTTATTATTAAAAACAATATGATACGACATAAATTTAAACAATACAATAAAAATAAAAAACAATACAATACAACATGAATTAAAAACATAACAACTAGGAAAAATAGAATAATCATATGGAATGCTTGAGATAATCCTATGGAAAGCTTGAGTTACCGTGTGTGCGTATAGATGCTAATATTTCATTTTGGCGTTCAATTAGTCATGCTTTCCTGGCTTGTGTTGGCATCGATTCTGGATATTTTTGCATGATTAACATATTTTCAGCTCTTTGTTTGTTTTCAATCTCTCTTAGTTTGCTTTGAAGCTCGAGTTGTCTGATTTTTTCTTTATCTGCTTTACATGCATCTCGTGCTATTTGAGCAGCCTCAAGAGTTTCAGATTGTCTTTAATAAAAGGGCTATTGCATGATCGAATTTGCTAATGAAATCATTCTGATTTTCAGATTGTCTTTTATCCTTATTTCGCCTCTGCTTTGCTGCTTTTTGTCTTTCTGGTCGCTGACATTTTTTAACATCTGTCGGATCATTTTCGTCTATGTGCGTCGATCCTTCAACTGAACTTGGTGTCGTTGCTGCATTATTTGATGGAGTAGATGGGTTTGAGTGACCAATAGGCTCATTATCATCAATGTGGATTCCACTCCTCTTCTTCGGCTTTTTTTTTTTTTTTTTGGATGTCAATTCTTTTTGACAATATAAATGCCACTTATTGTTGCTCTTCAAAATGTTCCAACAATTGTCAAACTTAAATTTGATGTTATTTTGACGAGCAAACAACTCTTCATCTAAAAAATAAAAATCAATAATTATTAGAAGACAAAATTTTAAAATAGCTATTAATTAAATTTAATATAATAAATAACTTAACTTGTACTCATTGTCTTGCCCACTGGGGTAATTCCTTTTAATCTGGGCCATGCATCCAGAAAATTTGGTAATCATTTTTTGCATGATGGACCAACGATTCAAGCACGCGAAATGATTTCTTTTAGGTGTATCAGCACCACTAACGTGTTGCTCAAAACTTTTTTGAATTTGGATCCATATCGCTATCTTTTGTTGGTCTGAACCGATGACCGCATCAGTGCTAATGACTATCCACGCATAACATAAAGCCTCATCTTCAACTGTGGACCAATTAGGAAGCCAAATAGCCCTTTGCTTTCTGGGAGGTTGGGAGTTATTGGATTGTGGTACTTTAGTAGGAATGTTGGAAACTTGAGAAGGTTGATGAGACGAAAATTGAGATTCTTCTCCAACAAATAAAAAAGGAATAAAAATTATCATTTGATTGGTTGAATTGGGAGTTGTAGTTGTAATATGGTGATGGAGGATTCATGGAATTGAATTTGAGTAAAAAATATAACTAAAAGATTGAGAAAATGACTTAATGGTTGTAATTGTAGGTTGAAGACTAAAGAAGATGGGTTGAATATGAGTGAATAATAGTAGGGGTTGATGTATTTATAAAGGAAAAATGAAAGGTTTTTATTTTTTATTTTTTAAAATAAATAAATATAATTATTTTTTTAAAAAATAAATTCAAAAAATTGGTTTTTGTGCTAATATTGCCGTTAGCTATATGTCAAAAGGAATATTTTTAAAAGTAAATTTTTCAAAAAAAAAAAACATTTTTTTCTATTTTTTTAATACTTTTTTTGCCCAAAAACCTGTAAGGCACTGTTTGTGTCAGCCAAACAGTGTCTTAACGGCTATTTGGTTCAATTATTTTGAGGAGGAAAAAAAAAAGAGAGAGAAAAAAGAAACCAAAAATCTGTTCAATTATTTGGTTCAAGGAATCGTCTTCTGGTTGCAATGGGCTCTCAGCGTATCCACAACATCCTGAAATATGTTGTTCCTCAATCTGCTTAGTGGCACAGCCGCACAAGTACTAACGAATCACTTCACTTGATATTCCATGTGTGAGAGGTATATGAAGTTGGGTGGTGACATGACGACAATTCATATTGGGGTTCGGGTCTAGACCCGAAATTGATCTTTCAAAAGTTCTGATATTTTACAACTAAAAGCAATAAAAATTTTAAAGGACCATCTTGTTTTTTCATTACTTTTTGGGTTATTTGGATCAAAATTTTATTGCGGTATTATTCTTAAAATAAGGGCTCAATTTGCATATGAGTGTCATTGGAGCAAACATTAGAACGTGTCACTATAAATTATTCTTATTTTTAAATGATATTAGAATTTTTTTATTTTTAATATGGGCTCAATATATATGAGAATAATTCACAATTTAAATACATTCAATGAAACATTGAAAAATGCCATATGTCAAGAAGTATTATCGTTTTGGTGTAACGATAAAAACTCAAGTTTATATGTGTAATAATATGATATTGAGTCATAAACAATTGTTTTATACTAAATAATGTGAAGCTATATTTGTATTCCTTAAGCAATCGAAAAATATTTCAATAAAAACAAGAGTTTAAAAACATGCATGGGATTTTTCTTTTTCTATTATTACTGAAGCAACACAACAATTTAAAAAGACATATTTAATTGTGCCACTGTAGTCATTTGAAAATAATCAAAATGTAAATAATAGCATATGGGCTATATTAGGATGGTTCTTTTGATGAAAATTTTGAATTAAGAAAGAAAGGAATTTTGAGAGAGGATTTGGGCTATCCATTAATATCGGGTTCAGAATTTAGCGACGTGTTTGGAATCTGGACACTCGGGTGACCCGTCAGCATATTTGGGCTATGATTTATTTTTTGTTAAGCTGACAAGGAATCACTGATTTGTCCCGCCTCCTTCCCTTGACTGACGTTTTAATTAGTCGGACTTCTAGAGTAGATGCAATCCGATATCGCAGGAATATTACTCAACACATAGGGAGTATATATTTATATATATATATATATATAGTCACACATACATGATACATACATATGACACATCATGCTATATTTAATAGTTACTAAATTGTAGATTGAGGTGGACTATGCACATGCAAACACATGCAAGCAAATTCATAAGATGACATTCTCATCTAAAACCTACGGCCTAAAATCACTAAACCACTCGAGTCCTAATCCGACAATTAATGCATTTTATTATATTTGAACTTTTAAAATTTAAAATTTTGTTTTACTCCGTAGTGGCAATATAAGCTAATTCAATTATATCAGAGATTATTTATTTATTTATTATTATTATTATTATTTAAGTATAACGTTCTAGAAACTATATTTTTCAAAAATAAAAATATCACCTAAAAATCACATAAATTTATCTATTAATTATTTTTAAGATAAAGTGTAAAAAATCCCTCTAAATTATGTCAAATTTTGCAAATAACCATATTGAAGTATATTTTGTGCATAAAAATCCCTGAATTTTCACATTTAGTTGTAAAATATCTCAATATCTTAACTATATTTCATTAAATGATCATAATGCACTTTCTTATTGAATTACATTTAATTTATTTTTTTATTGAAATAAATTATGAAAAAAAATCCATATTAATTTGATAACATATTTTTCATTAAATTTGAATAAATTTATCCTTAATTTTTTTAAATAAAAATCTTTAGTAGAAAATTTAAAAAAATTTGAGTAATTGTTAATGAATATATTGCATAAAAAAGAAGGTATTGTTTGTTTAAATATTTATTAATTTTTTTATGAATATATTGCATAAGAAAAGGTATTTTTATGGTAAAAAAGTTTAAAGTTAGTATAAAAAAAAATTATTATAAATAATAAAATTTTAATAAAAAAGTTAGTCCTTTTAGAAAATGGTGATTACAAATTTATTTATTTATTTTATGTTAAATTTATACTAGTAATAAAAATAAGATAATTGGTATAATTAATATTTAGATAAGAGAAAAAATAATAAAAATAATTTAATAAAAGATGACAAATGTAATGAGGAAGGATAATATAGTCTTTTGTTATGAATTTGTCCTTAATTGTAATAAATTAATAGTTTATTATTAATTTTAAAAAATTATTTATAAAAAGGCAATAGGATGAAGGGTTATTTTAATCGCCGCCACTAGAATTAAATTAATCAGTCCCACTTCAACTTAGTTATAAGTCACGTCAATATATTCAATAGGCACAAATTACAGATTAGTTTAGTTGGCGAATCAATGCACAATTATTGAATTCTATATGTAATTTTGTTCCAACAACCAAATGATTCATGCCAACATTTTGTCAATCAGTTTTCTATTCAGCTAGAACTTGTTTTTCAGTCACATGAAAATGTGGGAACCATGACCTTCCCACACCTAACGGGTCGACCCGCCTAATCTATTTGGTTCCCTTGATATGGGCTTGATTTTATTTAATTTCATAATCTCACACAAATAAAAGAATTTAAAAGCAACTAATTAATCTAATTAGTTCCCTTTACACGTGCCTGATTTCATATTATTTTATAATCTAACTCAAATAAAAAACTCTAAAACAACCAAGAGTTTAACAATATTTTAATTACTTTTTAAAATAAAAAATTAAGAGTTCAAGTCCAGATAAAGTGAATGTTTGATTTTCTTGTCAAGGTAAAAAAATATAAATAAAAATAAAATGTGATTTTCTTGTTAAGATAAAAATAATATT